TTTTATCGAAAATCTGATGGATGTAATTTTTATATATTTATTTTCCCACGGACTTTTAAAGTGAACCAACTTTTTTGAAGCAGACAAAGCAATTCATTCAAGAATCTTTCCCCTTTATGTCATTGGAAAACCAGTCTTATTGCAATTTAGGTTATCATTAAACCATGCTCATAGAAAGCAAAAAAATGTTCTTATTCAAATTAGTCATATAATGATGTTTTGTTTTTTTTGTTAAAATGATTAAAACTGATCCTTTTTTCTTTATATTTGAGTAGCGGATATAGAGTTGTTGAAAATCATAGATGAATCTGATGAGACTGGTGGAGTTCATCAATTAAATGTTAATGAAACAATTACTGGTTCTCAAATTGAATTGATACTTTTTGGGACGTGGTGGAACATCAAATAAATCCTGAAACTTAAAACAACCAACATTAATTAATTTTTAGTATATCGACCAAAATTTGGAAAAGTGTTATTTAACATTCTCGAATTAAATAAGAAGTTGTTCAGAAAGTAATGTCGGACTAGCTGGAACCGTGAAAAATTCACGGTTAATTTAAATATCACCCAATGTATATTTATATAGTTAATATATATAAATATGTATAATTTGCTCTATTTTGACGAATGAAAATTATCCTGCGATTCATATTTTAATTTATTTTTCTTTTTCGTTAAGTGCGAAAGTATTTATGAAATCCAGCAATTACGGCATTTTTTCACTATATGACAATGATTTTAGTTTTAGTTTCCCCTTCAATGACCATGGGTTGATTCGTTTTGAGTTATCATGTTTAATTTTCAAACATGTTCATCGCCCTGTGTTCTTAAAAACGTTGGATGTTGTTTTTTTTTCTTCTTTTTTATGAAGTATGACTGCATTATTTTTATGCCATTTATCGACTGGTTTGCCCCTGTGTTTTATTGATTTTCAGTAATATATTACAAACAAACTGGGAGGTTTTTGGGTGTGTTTAAATAAGTCCAATGGATATTTACATCGCTTGATTTAAGTTTGATTCTTGGAATCAGTACTTTGGTCTGAGAGTGTGATCCACTTCTAAATGACGCTTCGATACTATGTTCGTGGAGTTGAAGTACTTCCAAGCGAGTTCCGTTGCATGGATCTTGAGTTATAGAAAGGTTTTAAGTTAAATAGTTCCTCTAAAAGTTGGAATTTCATTAAGATCATTTTAGAAGGTTTAATTCTTTTATTATCTCCATAAAGGATAATTCTGCGTCTTCTTCATTAAGTGTCTGTAAAAGTCGGTACAACGGTGTGTCTTAGTTTCAGTGAGACCGAATTTTTATATATATATATATATATATATATATATATGTATAAAATCCGTGGGTAAGTAATCCAAGTAGATCCTAATAATATAAAATATTAAAACTGATCCACAAAAGAGAGCTCAATATATTTATTATAGAGCATATAGGTGAAACTCAATTGTACCCCATTTTGATGGCCATTTCACCCCTCCACCCCGGCCGGGATATTCTTCACGGGGCTTGTCAATGCAATGAAAAGCCCAGGGAGAATATCCCTGGCGCAGGTTTTGGAGTTTCATGTAATTTATATATATATGTATGTATGTATGTATGTATGTATATATATATTAATATATAGGCCGCATTTGCTATTCCCCATCCAGTTCAATTCACAAGGGTCTGATTGATTAAATGTAAAAAAATCGACTCGATCGCTAGTTTGGACATAAAATGAAAATTAATCTGTAATTTGTTCGTCCTTACTACTCACTAATTTACGTAAGTAAATCAATGGTAGAACATGTCTGTACGGGAATGAAGACATCCATAAAACGATGAGTAACCGAAAAATATAGATTTTATTTCGATTTTAATGACACCATCTGACAGAATCTTACCTTTAATTGCTAATTAAAATCTTAATTTGACACCTCAATTGGATGCGAATGGTCAGCGTGTAAAATTGTTTAAACAAACCGATCTCGACGATTTGTATACATTAGTTTAGGCACAATTATTTAAAAGATTAAAAAACGCAATTCTGTAAGATTTCTTCTTATAAAATCGATTTTATTGAACTTTACGAACATCAAACTGTGAAATATTTCGAAATTGTCTCGGTAAGTCCGTTAGAAACGTATTTCACGACCGTTTTGTCAACTGAGTGTAGTAACTTTTTTTTTCGAACACGTGTATATTAGATTTTTATTTAAAAATAGAAGCCATGCCTCCAGTTCATTCGCAAGGGTTTAATTAATTAAATGTAAAAAGATCGGCTCGCTCCTTTACTTCTTCAGGAATATAATACAACTTTAAACAGCTTTCCAATTTTTGCTATATTATTAACGAAACAGAAAGCGTGACAGACACGTAGGCTATTGGATTTAATTTGAGAAACACGACTACAATATTTTACAAGTTCACATTCTAGCCTATTTTCCAATACTAATCCCAACTTTTTCCCTTGCTTTTCAAAACTGGCTCCCAAAGCCCTGATTATTATCAGAGATAAGAATATATTTTTCTGACTAACGAGAGAGCTGGAAAATATAAAAAGGAATTCAACCACTTTTATCCAATTCATTGTTCCGTAAAAGTCTGGGGAAAACGCTCACAGGTTGTCGGACCCTTGCTTCCAAAGCAGCTCCCAAAACTTTGATTCTTATCAGAGATAAGAATATATTTCTAACCAATGAAGTGGCCAGGAAATATGTATAACAATTTTGGAGGGAAAAGTCCGACATTTCTAAGCCTCCCAAATCACTATAAATACGGAAAATCTTCGCCTATTTGGCAGCGAGTAGTCGACCACCGTCCGTGAGGTCGGCGACAGAAAGTCAATCATCTTCAAGAAAGAACTACCTACTATGAGCAGTCTTGAAAGAATGTCGGCCAAAAAACCAATTGAGATCTGCCTCCTTCCACCGAAAAGATATCTGTCGCCGGCCTACGAACTCACTCAACTGCAAAATTCGTATCTTCCGAAATTTTCCTACTCTGCAAGAACTCTGAAGAAATCTGTGAGTGTTTTAACTCTTAACAACAATCTACTCGCTTAAAGAACTTTTAGGCGCCCAGAGAAATATTTGAGCAAGTCTTTTTTCTTTTATAAACATTTTTCTTTCTTTAAAGTCAACGGAATTTTCTCCCTTTCTTTCTCTCGTAATTGCCTTTTACCCCTTTTTTGTACATGTAAATAAAAATATTCTTTCATTGTTACACACCGAGCAGGAGTTTGAGTCTTTTTTTATTCGTCCGCCCAAAAGAGTTTGTCCGCTCTAGTTTTTCAAGCCGTAGATGCTGTTTTTATTCAATTTTGTCGCATTTTTAACCTCAACTCTTTCATGTGGGACAGCCGGGACAAATTTCCCACAACGGACGGTAGGTATGTACAAGCGTATTAATATATATATTTAAAATAAACCTTTTAATTGTTATCTAACATATTATTATAATAGTTGCACAAAAATATATTCTTAATGATTAAAATGTCTTGATTAGTTTTTATGTCAATCCCTTTCATGTAAAAAGAATAGATACGTTTACTTCTTTTTTTGCATGTGTTCAAGCTCGATCATAATGCTTCTCAAACTGCTGTTAATATTACCAGGGCATAGGGTGAGGGATCTACTTGTGATCGTACAGTATGGCGCTGGTTTCTGAAGTTCGGCAGTGGAGAAATTCAAGGTGGTAGAGGATGTCTATCTGCAATTGGCAATCAACTTCTGAAAACCCACTTAAAAATGTGTGAGAAATATGCCTCGGGTAATAGGTGTCATCATTTCAACAATATCGGACTGTGCCAAGAACATTGTCAAGATGAAGAAACCCGATAAATGAGTTCCACATGAATTCACTGAAAGTTCGGCGTTTTCGACGATGCATCTGCTAAATTTGATCAATTTGACCGAATTTGATTCTTGATCGAATAGTGACTTGTGATGAGAAATGGATCCTTTATAAAAATCATGAACGACCGGCCAAATGCTTTGATCATGACGAAACACCTAAACATTTACCAAAACCCAAATTACAGCAACCGAAGATTATGGTGACTCTCTGGTTGCCCGCCATTGACGATATCCGTTACAGCTTTTTGAAATCTAAATAGAATATCACTGCGGAAGTTTACTGTCAACAAATGGATGAAATGCACGCTCACTTAAGCAAAATACGAGCTGCACTGGTTAATTGACGAGGTCCAAATCTGCTTCATGACAATGATCGGCCACATGTTACCAGGATGACACAGCAGAAACTCACTGACTTGAGATACGAGACTTTATCATGGCCACCATATTCCTCTTGATCTATCGTCCGCTGACAACTACTTTTTTAAAGCATTTTAACAATTTTTAAGACAAAGGACATTCCGTTGCAAAGGAAATGCAGAAAATATATTCAAATATTTCTTGGTGTCAAAGCCTTTAGAGTTTTATCGTAAAGGCATAAATAACCTTGTAACTCGATCGCAGAAATGTATAGATGTTCAGGCTTCCTGTTATAACGGATTTAAACACTGTTTAAATACATTAATTCAGGAATAAAAGTTGATTCTAAAATCTGACATTATTTTCTGAAGAATCTAATAATATTTATACGTGATATAATATCATTTGTATTTAACCTTGAATTTAAATGTCTTATGTAGATAAACTCTTATTTTTAGTACAAGAAATGATTGAGATATTTAAAATTAAATATATAAAAAAATGGACCATTAAGTTCATAACTCCGCACGTAATTAGTTGTATTTTTATGATAATTTTCATTGTATAATGTACGATCTATGTGATTAACATCTGTCACTGAATAAAGTGCATTGACAAGGAAGAATATGCTGAAAAACACTTATGTAAAAACTGCTTTTTTATCATTTGGTTAATTTTCGTATCACCTTATTTAAAACGATTTAACTGAATTCTTGGGAAAGCAAATATATAAGTTAAATACTCTGTGAGAAATGTTTCTTTTGAACGTTTTTATAGAATAAAAGATGTTCAATGATTGCCGTTATACTGTGCGCGTGTCCATTTTTCTTTATTTTCTTCATTATTTTTCTCATGTTTTTTTTCTCACCCATTTTTCTTTTTGAAATTAAAGTCGGAGATTGCCTCATAAAAATAGTACTGAATGTCAAAACTGTATTTAACAGACTTGTAAAAAAAAAATGAAATTGAATGTCAAAATTTTGTCAGATTCCATTTCTTCATTTTATTAATTATTATTAATATATTTTACGTTTATATATTAATGAGACTGCATAGTTGGAAATTATTGTAACTTTTGTTCATTACTTTTCAGGTAACAATTGTGAATTTCTACACAACAACGAAGTGATGCCAGAAACACTTTTGCAAGTAAATGGAAATTAAATTTACCCGTCTGGATATATACCTACTCTAGGTATGCCTTATTGATTGATTATTATATAAAACTTCCTCTCTCCCCGTGTGTGTATGTGTATATATATATATATATATATAATGAAGCTTTTTAGGTCCGTCGTACTTTCCAAAATTTGGCTAAATAAGCAAACAACAGATTTTTTTAGGAAAATCTTTTATAAATATTCACCATTTCCTCTTGTATTAAGTCTTACCAAGTTCAGAGTGAAGCTCGATTTGTTAGTTTTTCTTGTTAGTCATTTCGGGATATTTTCGGGGTTCTAATAATCACACACGACATTTTTTCATGTGTATAGCATCTTAATTAAGAGTGTTGAAGATGCTTTATACATATTGGTTTTGTTAAGAGAAATCAATAAAACTCAGTTTCTATCAGTTTTTATAATATGCGTGTTTTGAAAAAGCAATAATAATAAGGCTTAAACACTAATATTCCATGGTCATAATTTATTCCATTGGAATCGTAAATACGACCCAATTCATCAGACCTACAAATTCAAAAAGAAAACAGAAAAAACAACTCCTGGAATAAAAAATAAAATTTAGTGAGAGTGTATATATATATATATATATATATAAGGGTTATGACTTTTTGACATTTTGTCAAATATTTGACTTCCCGTGTGAACTTTTGTTAAAAAATAACGAAGGTTTAATTCAGTTTATTTCTTTAAACCCTAATTTTCACCTACGAATTTTAATTTTAAAATTCGCAGGATTTTGCAAACTGTTTACGGTATCAGTTTGTAGTGGGGTATCCTATATATAATTATTATAGAACCATTCAATATATCCAATCAGATTTTACTATCATCATAAGGCTATGTCTTTGTTGTTTACGTTCCTTATGTTATGGCTGCTATACTATATATATATATATATATATATATATATATATATATATATATATATAGGGTTAAGGGACTTTTTGTAATCCCATATATCTGTCATAAATCGATACACTTTTGTTCAAAAGTAATGAAAAAGGCATTAATTTATTTTAGTCATTGAGAAACATCACCCCCACCCCCCAAACAGTAAATTCGATTTTACCAGATACGCATTCAGGTCAAAATATTAAAAGAATGTAATTTAATAGTACTTATGTATTTTTACGGTATTTAACAGTTTATAGCTATAGCATAACATACAAACTTATAAAAAAACAAAAACAAGTTCTAGAAGTTCTAGAAAGTTAAATATCAAGCAATGCATCAATCTGAAATGTTTATAGGAAAGAATACCTGCCACGTGCGCGTCCGTTTGAGTCGTACAAGAATTTTTGTGAAGGTCGAGATGATGTCGGAGATAAGAAACATTGTAGATCTCCGAGCACATCAATAACCATCGAAAATGTTTTTACAAATATTGAATGAATCAAATGAAAATGGCAACAGGAAAAACAAAGCCTGTCTTCCAAATTTTTGATGCTTAATCAAAAAAAAAAAAAAAATCTCAAGAAAATTTGTGTGGATATTTTGAAAAAGCATGATCCCATGTTCGATTTTTTTTTAAATCGGGGGGTGATGGCTCAGAACAAATTAAGTTAATTTCTAAAAAGTTATTCTTAGCATCGCTTGATAATGGAACGGAACTTTATATTTTAAGTTTAATTTTTTGATTGAATTTCAATTGATGTTTCAGTTTTGAAACATGGGAATTTCGGTGTTGCGATGATAATATATAGTTTTTTAAAAACTATTTTATATATATATATATATATATATATATATATATATGTGTGCGTGCATGCGTGTTTGTATGCGTCTGCGTTTAAAGTTTGATATATTATTGGAGGGAAGCGTGTTTAAATCAGGTGCCGGACGTTTGTTAATAAAAAGAACGTGGAAATCAACACAACATGTGCCTAGTAGATTCACGTCTTAAGTGAACCTCATACCATGACGCGAAAATGCTAGTCACTATGCTGTGATGATTTCTATATCTACACCTTTCACAATACTTCAAGCAAAAGGTTAGGGAGGAAAACCTCATCAATACTCAAAAGAGCGATAACAGTTAATGGACTTGTGGAAGCAATTTTCTTGAAAAACTTTTAAGAGAAAGTTTTTTATAAATTTCGAACGACAGTAGCGCTAACTGTTCAGCCTTTAAATACTGAATGATTTCTTATTAGCAAAACCGCTAACCTCACCATTAATATTACGTATTCACGTCCCGTTTGTAGATATTTTATATTAATTTAACTGGAAGACCTTGATAAGTATACAGTGAAACATTATCATTCAGAATATATAGGTCTTCTACTATGGTGATAGAATTAGAAAAATCGTTTCATGGACCAATTCATTAGGTCAGAATTCAGTGCTCTGCTGCTGTAGCCTTACACCAGCGTAAACAACACTAAGTAAATAACCATACTGAACTTATAGGAGAGCAAACATATTTCGAAATCCTATTTACAATATTCGGACAAGTGTTCTCATCTTTGTTGCCATATTTATCACAAAGTTTGAGGACACATGGCACAGTGGATAAAGGCGTTAGTTAGATCCAGTGACAGCACCGAAAGAGTGTGAGTTCAATACCTGGTTAAGGCGGCGGAGAACTTGGAGAGGGGAGTTAACAGGAGATAACTGATAACTGACATCCATTATTCATGGCACGTGGAACTAGAACAGTCTACCCCAGTGAGCGAAATAAAGGCTTCAGTTCGACATTCCAACCACCTGAAGAAGGCCGGAGCGTGAAACGGCTAAAGCGTTGTGATAAATATGGCAACAAAGATGAGGACAATAGTCCGAATAATGTAAATAGGGTACATAATAACTCATATCGGAAATATAGACAGATACATATTTCGAAATGTTAATGAGATACATACATCCATATCAATACGGAATCTAACTTCCGTTGTATTAATAGCATATGCCATATAATAATATACCGAACAATAAAAGATTCATATCGATTCCATTGTATTAAATTAAGTTCTAAACGTAAAGCGATGTAAACGATAATGAGTCGGTGATGGATTAAATGAAAGAGAGAGAGATAATCGTGCTACTTACTATAGCTATATTAAGAAACCAACCCGTAAGTCCTTGAACTATATTGAGTAATGTTCACTTCCTACCTGTATTTATATTGCTAATATTTAATACTCACAGTGATTATCTTCCTTGTCTATTTCTCTGCGCTTGTCCACCTTGTCTATAGTCGGAAATAAATATTTCTAAGACGATTAGCGTAATTGAAAATTAGTTATTCAATAGAAATAGTCAAGAACTCGGACAGGAAAGAATAAATAATAGAATTGTTTCGCACTAAAGATCGAATTCAAAGTCAGTAAACACTTGCAACAAAGACAAATTCATTCGTACATACACACAAAAAAAAGGCTTTATAAGAAAAATCCAGGTAGACTTGGTAAAAAGTAGTTGCGATGAAAATAATTGATTACTGTAATGAAAACATTTAGAAATCGTAATTTCGTTAGAAACAAAGATGAACTGCTATGTTACATTTTTCCTCTACATCAGTGAATGCTGGACAATTTCGTCATAGATGAAGAGGAGGCACAAACCGACAGAGATATAGTTTTACAGACGGATGCCGAGAATACCATGGACTGAACATGTAGGCAACGTGAAAATGGGAACTAGAACGACATTTATACTTAAAATCACATTTCTGGGACATACTATGAGGAAAGGGAGTTTGGAGAATTTAACACTCACGGGACATATTGAAACCAGAATAGTCAGAAGGAAACAACAAGTAATATATCAAATGAGTTTGAATGGGCGGAGATACAGAGTGATGGTAAATAATAAAGACGCTAGGATGCTGTGAAGAGCCATAATCGCTCACATAATGAGAATTTAAAACTCTCAGGACATATTGAAGGTAGAAAGAGTAGATCGAAACAGCTGATAACCTACTTAAAGTGTTTTTGAGTGGGGACAAAAAGTGATGGTACAGATTCAAAAGTAGCTTAGACGTACAAAAGACAGGATGTTGTGGAGAGCTATGATTACCCACGTCCAGAAGCGGCACAGCACATAAAAGAAGAAAGGAGAAATATTTTATCAGTATTGAATAAATTAATCCCAACAGAAACTGGTTTCACATTGCTTTGACATCGACTTGGAACCAAGTCCATTTAGAAATGATTAAAATAGAACAATTTACTGAGTCATATCAGTGAGCTCAGGAAGAATTAATTATCTATTAGGTTTGAGTGCGTGTGAATATGACTTTATATATATGTGGATCATCTTCTATGTGTCGTATCTCTTCAGGACGTGGGCGATCACGACTCTTCGCATCTTCCTATCATTTGTAGCCATTAGTTTGTCTTTTTACTATTCCTTCGACTCTTTGTTCTGCCATTCATTTATTTACACAAGCTTGTTAAGTAGGTCCCATCTGTCTCTAAATATGTCCTGTGAGTATAAAATTCTCCAAACCCTTTTCCTCATTATACATCTAAAAAATGTCAACTCTTTCTGATTGTAAGTATGGCTTTTTTTGTTTCCATTTTCCTTAAAACTTCCTCGTTGCTCACATGCTCAGTTCATGGCAGTCTCCACATTCTTCTGTAGAACCACATCTCTGTTGCCTGAAGTCTTTTTTCATCTGTGAAGAGATTGACCAGCATTCACTGCCATATAGGAGGACCGATATTACATAACATTTCAGAAATCTCTTTTTTTCTAACGAATTTTCCCTGTTTCTTAATACTTTGCTCATCTTTTTGAAGGCACCTTTCGCTATTCCAATGCGCTTTCAGATTCCGGCGTTATATTTTCCGTCATTTGTTAAAACACTTCCCAGATATTTAAATTTCTGTACATGCTTAATTATTATTATTATTATTATTATTATTAATGCATAAATAAAACTCCACGTGGCCTAGAAATATCGGGGTGATATCTAGCGGGAATAGACATGTCTCATGGGCAGGACGAGCTCTTTAGTTTTGGTCGACAGTCGTACTAGAGGTGGTATCTTGAACAAAATTATTCCTCGGCA